AACTATGGCAGGAGACATCTTGGAGACTTAACATGATGTGGTACTTTTGTCTTAGAGCAAATGCCATTGTTTCCTAATGGATTTCTATGGTAGTTGGATCTTTGATTTCAAACCCAATATAAAGTTTCCTTAATAAATGCAAAGTATAGCCTATGATTCTATATATTTTTCTGTACCTCAATATCTAGCTCCTCATTTATCCTCCAGTTACTATTTCTTTTTTCATCTTTATATGCATGTTGTTCCCTCTTGTCAGTCTGGCAAACTCTTATCTTACTTTTTTTTTTTTTTTTTGAAGACAGAGTCTCACTCTGTTGTCCAGGCTGGGGTGCCATGGCGCGATCTCAGCTCACTGCAACCTCTGCCTCCCAGGTTCAAACAACTCTGCCATCACAGCCCCCTGAGTCGCTGGGATTACAGGCACCTGCCACCATGCTTGGCTAATTTTTTTTTTTTGTATTTTTAGTAGAGACAGGGTTTCACCATGTCAGCCAGTCTGGTCTTGTACTCCTGACCTCAAGTAATCTGCCCGCCTCAGCCTCCCAAAGTGCTGGGATTACAGGCGTGAACCACGATGCCCAGCCATTATCTTAACTCAAAGCTTTCCTTCTTCTCCAGACAGAATTAGATAGAACTCCTCTTGTGCTCTTGGAATTCACAGACTGTCCATAATACTATAATAGCATTTATCACATTATAATGCAATTGATAATCTGAGCTTCTGATTTTAGAAATTGTGTCATAATTCTATTTTATACCCCAGTGCTTGGCATGCTACCAGGCATATAGTAAATATTCAATAGATGTTTGATAAATGAATAAATAAATCAGAAGGATGGTCTCTTAATGCTTGTCAAAACACTAGGGAGTATATATAGAATTGGTGTCCCTACTTATGAGGAAAAAGCCCCAGATATTACATTTATCCATTTTCTTCTTTAAACAGAGTCTACTAGATGACTGGGCAAGTAAGGGAACTCTGGTGGAAGAAATCAATTGCAAAGGTACTCCTTTAGAAAATCTCATCATGGAAATCACAGCACCTGATTCCCAAGGCAAGCCAGGTGAGTACGGGCTCTTCAAAATATAGTGAATAAAAATTGCTCTTTGCTTTTGGCCTTTGGAGATGCCTCTTTATACAATTAAAGTGAAAATCAAGGTTGGGTATGAAAACAAAGTGCATCCCCAAAGCAGTCTTCCCCTGCAACCTGATCTGTCACCCCTTTTGCTATATAACATTACTTCATTTTGCAAAATTCCTTCCCATGATAGGAAAAGTAAATGAACTAGTTGGCCCACTTAGAACTATCAGATGGCTGGGTGCAGTGGCTCACACCTGTAATCCCAGCACTTTGGGAGGCCAAGGCGGGCGGGTCACAAGGTCAAGAGATCGAGACCATTCTGGCTAACACAGTGAAACTACAAAACTCTCTACTAAAACTACAAAAAAGAAAAAAAACTAGCCGGGCATGGCGGTATGCGCCCATAGTCCCAGCTACTCGGGAGGCTGAGGCAGGAGAATGGCGTGAACCCGGGAGACAGAGCTTGCAGTGAGCCCAGATCACGGCACTGCACTCCAGCCTGGGCGACAGAGCGAGACTCCTTCTCAAAAAAAAAAGAACTCTGAGAGGCAGAGCTTGCAGTGAGCTGAAATCATGCCACTGCACTCCAGCCTGGGCGACAGAGCGAGACTCCATCTCAACAAAAAAAAAGAACTATCAAATGAACATAGAATAATTAAAATAAGATTTTCATCTTGAGAATTTCCCTTTTTTGAACGTGTAAATGGGATGAGTATGCATCATCTTTAAACTTGGGTACTGGCCAGGCACGAAGTCAGGAGATCAAAACCAGCCTGGCAACATGGTGAAACCCTGTCTCTACTAAAAATACAAAAATTAGGCCGGGTGCGGCGGCTCACGCCTGTAGTAATCTCAGCACTTTGGGAGGCCAAGGCGGGTAGACCACGAAGTCAGGAGATTGAGACCATCCTGGCTAACACAGTGAAACCCCGTCTCTACTAAAAACACAAAAAATTAGCCAGGCATGGTGGCGGGTGCCTGTAGTCCCAGCTACTCAGGAGGCTGAGGCAGGAGAATGGTGTGAACCCAGGAGGTGGAGCTTGCAATGAGCCGAGATCACGCCACTGCACTCCAGCCTGGGCAACAGACAGAGTGAGACTCCGTCTCAAAAAAAAAGTACAAACATTAGCCAGGCATGGTGGTATGCGCCTGTAGTCCCAGCTCCGGGGGAGTCTGAAACATGAGAATAGCTTGAACCTGGTAGATGGAGGTTTCATTGAGCCGCGATGGTGCCTGCACTGTAGCCTGGGCAACAGACAGAGCAAGATACCGTCTCAAAAAAAAATTGGGCAAGCCTGGATAGGTATGAGTGTGATATCCAGGAAGAAGCAAGTATTTATAAGTCAGTATTGGGCCGGGCGTGGTGGTTCATGCCTGTAATCTCAGCACTTTGGGAGGCCTAGGTGGGCTGATCACTTGAGGTCGGGAGTTCAAGACCAGCCTGGCCAACATGGTGAAACCTTGTCTCAACTAAAAATATAAAAATGAGCCAGGCCTGGTGACTCGTGCCTGTAATCCCAGCTATTCGGGAGGCTGAGGCAGGAGAATCACTTGAACCTGGGAGGCAGAGGTTGCAGTGAGCTGAGGTCGTGCCACTGCACTCCAGCCTAGGCGACAGACCAAGA